AGTGCTCGCCTTGAGCTGAAGAGCTGAGGGACAGCGCTCAGGCCCAGAGTTCAAGCCCCACGACCAACCAAAAAAAAAAAAAAAAAAAGAGATGAAGGGCTAGGAAGGTGGCTCAGTGGTAGAGCGCTTGCCTTGCATGCATGAGGCCCTGGGTTCGATTCCTCAGCACCACATAAACAAAAAATAAAAAGCCGGAAGTGGCGCCGTGGCTCAAGTGGTAGAGCCCTAGCCTTGAGCTGAAGAGCTGAGGCACTGCGCCCAGGCCCAGACTTCACGCCCCAGGACCAGACCAAAAAACAAAAACAAACAAACAAAAAAAAGGAGATGAATAAGTTACAGTATATCCATTTAATAGAATACTATTCAGTACGAAAAAACTACATTAAAAAATTTTTTTGTCAGTTGTGGGGCTTGAACTCTGGGCCTAGGCACTGTCCCTCAGCTGTTCAGCTCTCTAGGTTAGTGTTCTACCACTAAAGCCACAGCACTACTTCCAGCTTTTTCTGCTTGTGTGGTACTGAGGAATTGAACCCAGGCCCTCATGCATGCAAGGCAAGCACTCTCCCACTGAGCAACCTTCAGCCCCAAAAAACTACATTTGATGTATACAACCACATGGATAAGTCTCATAAATAGGAGGTTGAGCCGGGTACCTTCCTACCCTAAATTGTGACTAGAACAGCTACAGAGATCAAAGTGAGAACACAGTATGAACTTTGTTTGTTTGTTTATTGCCAATCCTGGGGCTTGAACTCAGGGCCTGGGCACCATCCCTGAGCTTCTTTTTGCTCAAGGCTAGCACTCTATCACTTGAGCCACGGCACCACTTCTGGTTTTTCTGTTTATGTGTTACTGAGGAATCGAACCCAGGGCTTCATGCATGCTAGGCAAGCACTCTACCACGAAGTCACATTCCTAGCCCTGAACTAATATTAAGTCCTCTATCTATTAAGCCTATAGTTTGTCAACTTGTTTAAACTTTGGAACCTTTCAAAATTTTTTCAAGTGGAAACATCTAACAGAACAAAAGTAGAGATGCTTGTGCTAAAGAGAAAGAAACAGAGTAGGTCTTTGAACATTATCATATTGTTAGCCATACATACCTACCATGACTCTCCTGAAAGGCTATCACAGACCCTTGGGAATATGGTTTGAAGACCAGTATTTCAGCCAACCACTCATGGCTCATGCCTATAATCCTAACTACTAAGGAGGATGAAATCTGAGAATCAAAGCTCAAAGCCAGCTACAGAAGACAAATCCCTGAGACTTATCTCCAATTAGCCAACAAAAAAGCCAGAACTGGAGGTATGGTCCAAGTTGCAGGGTGCCATCATTCATCAAAAAAGCCAAGCAAGAATGCTCAAACTCCTGGGCACTGGTGGCTCACACCTGTAATCCTAGCTACTCAGGAGGCTGAGATCTGAGGATTGCGCTGCAAAGCCAGTCTGGGCTAGAAAGTCTGAAACACTCTTATCTCCAATCAACCACCAGAAAACCGGAAGTGGTGCTGTGGCTCAAGTAGTAGAGAACTAGCCTTGAGCTGAAGAGCTGAGGGACAGTGCCCAGGCCCAGAATTCAAGCCCCACGACCAACAACAAAAAGAATGCTCAAACTGAGTTTAAGCCCAATATTCACACCATAAAGAAAGAAAAGAAAAAAAAAGAATAAAAAAGAAGGAAGGATGTGAAGAAGGGAAAGGAAACGAAAGGAAAGGAGAAGGGCAGAAAGAAAAAAGGAAGGAAGGAAGGAAGGAAGCAAGCAAGCAAGCAAGTAAGCAAGCAATAGACCAATGAACCAGTATTCTCTCTTAGCTGTAAGGTCTGCCCTAGGCCAAGCAGGCCCAGTGCAGACACCTCCCTACCTACCTCTTGGCTGTTTCTACCCAGTATCTGTGTTACCTAGGTAACTGGCACACCTTGAAGCAGTCACCTCTCCCTATAGCTAGGTCACATCCTGGGCCACCTCGGGTCACATGCCTCCCATCTGACCTTAGGAGGGTCCCAGGACCTGAGGTCACATCAGGATCCAGTGTGACCACACCTTTCCCCCACCTGACCACACCTCTTCCTGTTCCTGGCCTAGATACATCCTGGCTCAGGGATGGGCTGCCCCTTTCGGCCATGCCTCTCCATCATGCAAGGAGTGGGCAGCAGTTTGGTAAAGAAACTTCTTTTCCTGCCAAACAGCATGTGGTGTTCTCTTCATGGGCCACCTAATAAAACATACCTACTTAAAACATACCAGGCTAATGCCTGACCTCTAGCTTTAGCAACATCCTAGACTCACCTGAGAATATTCTTCATGAGAATCAAATCTTGGAAAAAACTTTCAAATACAGAACAAACAAGAATAGCTGAGTTTTGCACATTTACTTTACTCCTACACAATATACCATGAATAAACACTTGCTCATCTTAAATTGTATCCAAAATCTAGAGAGCTTCACACAAAAGTAACTCAACTTAGCAAAAGGCAGCATTAACAATGAATAAAGTAGGTACTCACTTTTAATTGCTGATTTTTTTTCTTACCTCTGCTGGTAGAGGACTAGTAGTTACTGGCTTGACTGGGTCATGTGACACAGCCAGAGTTCCTGCAGAGGAAGTTCCATTCATTGTTAATTTGGCTGCATCAGCAACTTCTCCATTGGGTAAGATCCCATCAGCAAACCAAACTCTCCTCTGCTCTCTAGGCTGAGCCACTTGAGGGGCCAGGAAAACAAAACAGGCATCATTGATACATTGGTAGGTTTTCTGACACCAAAGAAGAGAAGGTAACCAATTCCAGATGTACAAAGAAATCACTATTTAGATAGATTAAAACTATAATTGTATATGAAACTGGTTAACGAATAAAACTATATGAGTAAATATATACTTTGCTTCTATACCAAAGATGTAAAATACTTCTATATGCAAAGATGTAAGATACTTTGCTTTCAAATACTAAGGAGTCTTAAACACATCTATGATATGTCACATACTCTGCCCAGCATCACTGACAGAGAAACTAAGGAAAAGTATTTTAAGTGCTTAGAAAATAAATCTAGCAAAAGAAATCCACAGCTCCTACATGTGAGGTTTCCACAGAAATTAAATATCTGGAAAAGTGATATGGTACTTTTAAAGGACAAAAGCTGCCCTAAAAGATGTTGAAGAAATATTAATTAATAAAGGAAGAATTGGCAAAGATACATAAGAATTAGGAAGCAAACAGACCAGATCTTTGGCTAAAATCTAGCTGTAAGAAGAAAAAGACTGATCTGGCAATACAAAAGTAGTTTGCATTTCAGTGAAAGGACAGGAAAAAGTTAGAAAACTGCATCTGATGAAATCTCTTTAAATCTAGGTTTGGAAATCAACTCAAAACAGTCAAAACAGAGCGAGTATAGAAGAACAACAAAAATGACAAAAGAAGAGAATAGAGATTATAAGATAGAAAGCCTGAACTCAAAAAATACAAAGGCATATCAATAAAGGATGATCTGAAAAGAAGAGAAAACGGGCAAGAGTGTGATACTCTCAATAGAACTCTCTGATATGCAAAAGGGGAAGGAAATATTCCTAGACAAAAGACACAAAAATAATGAAAGAAGATTGATTTTAACTATCAGGGGGAACATCTTGAGAAGATCATCTTAAGGAAATACATAATTGTTATTTTTAATACTCATAATCCCTTGAATTTGCAAGGTGCCTTTCATCTGGCAATCTCATAATTTTAAAGAAGTGGTATTCTAAAGTAAGTTGAGCATATAATTCCTGTCACATGATATAACTAGAATTAAAGTTTTAGATTTAAAGGTACATGTATGCAAGGTAATATTTTCATATTTTATAATAGGTTTAAAATGAAAAGAGAAAATAATAAGGTAGTTCTAAAAAGCAATACTAGAATTGGGCTGGCTAGTAGGAAAAAACTCTCATTTTCATTACTTAGTAAATTCCTGCCAAAGGACATTAAGACAGATATGAGGCTGAGGTTTTACAGACTGACTTCAAATTCTGTATTTCTAACTATAAGCAGTGTCATTACTCCATTTGTAAGTTGTAGAGGAGATTGGCATATTTTCAGAGGTGCCTCAAAAATATCAGGCTATACAATATTATTTTTATTTGGCCAAATATAGTATGGACACATTTCTCACTTTGTTCTTCCATTTTAATAACCATCTGAAGGGACTTATCTGCAGTGTTTAAAGAGTTGTGCTGTAGCCACACCACCACCTTTTCAGAGGAACTTGGTGAGGAAAAAGAGAGAGAATAGCACATGATCCCCTACCTTCTGCTCCAGGGTGCTTTAAAACTCCCACAGGTACCATCACAGTGGGAGGTGGAGAGCTCAGTGCTCCTGAGGCCTGAGCTTGCTGCAAGGGAGGGATAGTAGAACAGTATTCAGCAGGATTGTTAGGGTTAGGGCTCTGGCTTGAGGCACTCATCATGTTCTCCCAGGCTTGAGCTAAAGCAAATACAGACACAATCAATGTGAATGGATTGCAAAATGATGGATATCAAGACCTCCACAATATTGGATAAATAAGTAATGCAGCTTCTCCTCATTAATACTCATAGTATTAATACTCTTCCAGCTCGTGAAGGTATTAAGGAGACAGATGATTTTATTCAATAAAGAAGACCACTTAACTAAGTAAGCTGGTTGGAACAAATAAGGAATTAAATATTTCTTAAAAAGAATAATAGTAACATGATAATTCTAATAGAGACTGATACTAGACTCCAAAATAAAGACAAGGCCTATGGTTTCTTTAAAAGAGACCATATATTTCCTTAAGAGGGAGTGACCTTAAAGATATGTAACTAGAATAGACTTTAGGCCTCTTGGCTTGTTTTAATAGCTAAAGTATTTTATAAACTTGTATCAAAAATCAAAATCAAGGGCAAAACAATACAATTCCATTGTTTCATTTCTGTATATTCAGGCTTTTCTTAGTAAGAAAAAAATTTCATTTGAACAATTCAGAAGCCTAAAGCTTAAGAGAAACAGCTTGGTAATTTCTGTAAATTATGCTTTTATGAAGTCATCCTGTAAAAGAGTATCCAGGAATAACAAGCATTCTACATCTTTGGTGTGTCTCAAAAGCACAGGACCAATTTGAACATGAAAATGTGCCAATATCATATAAATGTGATCAATCAATATGAATGATCACAAAGACATTAAGATTCTATTACTCTCTAATTTCACTAATTACTGACATAGCAACTATGTCTTTAAAACTAAATAGGATGAAAGATGCTATAGAAATAAAAGATATAAATTTTATTTTGGAAGTTCATATACTATATGCCCAGGAATAGAAACCATCCAATTTTTGAGCATCTTTTTTAAAAAGTCCTCATTCAACATCAAAGAATGAGCCATAAGATTTTGAATATTTATTTCCTCTAAACTGGAAGACAAGGCTAGTAACAAAAGCTATGTTCATTTGAAAGCACTGGCAGAAAGAGGGAAGGAAGAGAAAAGGAGAAAGGGAAAAGAGGGAACACTGAAAAGCATCAAATTAAATAATCAGAAAAAGACCAGGCTAAGCCATGCAAGAGGAAAAGATGCTGGAAAAACCAGGAAAAGTAGATTACCTTAGGATCCCCTGTTAAGGGCCTCCTTGGCTTAATAAAAAGTAGTATTCCATATGAATCCTCTGCCATTTCCTTCATGTTTAGCTATGCCAAGTTAAAATAAATTGCCAGCAAGCTGGAAGACCTCATCAAATAAAAGAGGTATTAAGTATTGTAATTAGCCGCATGCTCTTGTCTGAGGATATATGTCCAAAAATGAAAGCAGTGGAATAAAAATCATCAATTGAGCAACTCAGTGAAATAACCACCATTCCAAAAATGACCCTTAAGAGTAGAGAGAATGTTTCACATTCGATCAAAATATGAGAATTCAGAAATGGGAGAAAATTGGGTGGATCATAGGATATCAGAACAGATCAGATTAACTGACATGCAAAAGGTTAATAAGCCAGCAACAGGAAAACATCACTAGGAGCAATGCAGACAGACAGAGCAGGAAGGATCTGAAATTCCAGACTTGAGGAGGCACACTAACAGGCACAGACAACAGTAGTGTCCAGGGTCAACATTTTCTTTTAGTAATTATTCTGATCATTTTACAAAGACACATTCAAAAAGAAAATACCACAATCTGATCAATTTTATTTTATCCTTCTACAAGAATATTCATGGTTTTTGTTTTTAGTTTGTTTTTAACTAGAATATCCTTGTATTCATTGCTAATTACCACAAAAGAAGAAACAATTATAGTTATATTTACTCTTCTGGCTGTATTCTTTCATCATATAACACCTAAATTCAAAGCCTTATTCTTATAGCACATCTATGTAACTGGTAAGAGATAACTGATAAGAAATAACTGGTAAAAAGTACAATTTTCAGCCAGGTGCTGTAATTGTAAATACATAGGGGACTCAGACTGGAAAGACAAGTAGGCCAGCCTGAGCAAAAAGTTTGAAAGATTCCTCCTCAACCAATAGTTGGACATGGTATAAGTTTGAAGTCAGGAATATCCTGGTTCCAATTTTTTACCAACCTGGGCAAAAAAATTCCTGAAACTCCATCTCAATGAAAGACTCTAGGTGTGGTGGCACATACCTGCTAGAGTGAAGTATAAAATAAGAGGATCATGATCCAAGAATGAACCTAGTTAAAAAAAAACCAAGACCCTATCTCAAAATAATCAGAGCACAAAATGGACTGAAGGCATGGCTCAAGAGCATACTGCCTATCTAGCAAGTCCAAGGCCCTTAGTTCAAACCCCAGTACTACAAAAGAGAAAAAAAAAGAAAAGAAAATATCTGCTTGACCTTACATGCTATATTTTTTAACAAAATGGATGATGAAATAACATGGTATTAATGTTTTTGATATTAAAGTCTATTAATTTAGAATGCTTTTTTTTCTTTCTCTCAGTCGTAGGGCTTGAACTCAGGGCCTTGGTACTGTCCCTGAGCTCATTTGCTCAAGGCTAACACTATACTACTTTGAGCTCAGTACCACTTCCAACTTTAACTGTTTTGAAGTTATTAAGGTAAGTTATCTTTCCCTAGAAAAAGAGAGCTTCTCTGGAAAGGTTTTATTTTTTTGTTTGTGCCAGTCCTAGGGATTGAATTTAGGGCCTGGCACTGTCTCTGATTTCTTTTGCTCAAGGTTAACACTCTACCACTTGTTAGCTATTTTTGGTAGTTTATTGGAGAAAAGAGTCTCACAGACTTTCCTGCTCTGGCTGGCTTCAAACTGCGATCCTTACATCTCAACCTCCTGAGTAGCTAGGATTATAAGCATGAGCCACCAGTGCTCAGTGAATGGTTCAACTTTAGTATCTATCAGCTAGCTGATAAGTATATTCCCCCACCCCACCTGTCTCTATATAACACAATTATTTCCAAAGAACTTCATTCTTCCCACAAAACTTACCTGGCTTTAGAATTCATAAAATTAGAGACAGGAATTCTGGGACGCCAAAATACTTTTAAAATGTGGAAATTAAGCTCAATATCTTGGAAGTTCTGACATTTGAGAAGATAAGAAACTTATAAAGAAAAGCCAAGGGAAAAAAAGAGTCTTTTTATAAATATTCTCTTATTCTGTCTCAATGACTATACAATCAATCTGTTTTAATACTTACCATTCATTAGCACTGAGTGGCAGATTACACATACTCTAGCTTCCTTTCGATCCATATATAACAATTTACATTTCAGGCTACAGCAGGAAGCACAGAAAACCTGTGAGGAAAAGAACATAGGAAATTTACTAGTATCACTACCAAGGGACCAGACCAATACTACTTCTTATTGACAGCCAGTGCTACATTATTAAAGAACTTCCAAACAAATGCAGTTCAGGGAGTTGAAATTCAAATCCAAGAATAAGATTTACAAGTCTGTTAACAATATGAAAGCTTACTGAAAATAAAAATCTTTTTTTTTTTTTTTGTTGGTTGTGGGGCCTGAACTCTGGGCCTGGGTGCTGTCCTTCAGCTCTTCAGCTCAAGGCTAGCACTCTACCACTTGAGCTACAAGCCACTTCCGGCTTTTTCTGCTTATGTGGTGCTGAGGAATTGAACCCAGGGCCTCCTGCATGCAAGGCAAGCACTCTACCACTGAGCCACCTTTCCAGCCCATGAAAATAAAAATCTTTGTCAAGGTCACATAGAAAATATATGACAGGGGAAAACAAAACACCTTAGCTGCCCTTCGGCTAATTTCTATGCACAAAACATGACATTTAACAGTTACATCTGCTATTTTGGTTCCAAAAGGAATTAGAACAGGATGAAACCAAGATTGAAATTTCTAGTTTTAATTTCTGTTTTCTACTTTCCTTATGTATGGAATAATAATCATACCAGCTGTTCTCACCAGTTTTCTGTGAGGATCAAAATACACAACTAATCATAAAAATAGGCCCAATCCAGCTACAAGAAATCAAAACAGACAGGCCAAATCAGCCAGGCCAATTTCTAGCACCTTATTTTCACCTTCTGGGCTTAGCTGTAGTCTCACTTCCTTTTCCATTCTACACCAAACAGCAATAATCTCAGGTTCCTGTTTATTTTCTTGAGGGTTCTCTATCACATAGAACTTCAAAGCTCTTCCCAGTAGGAGCAATTCTACTTCTCCAATTTTTATGGTTCAGAAGTATCCTCTGTCTTATAAAGCTAAGTAGAGATCAGGCATCACACCAAAGTTAACATTAGTTTACTTTCCCTCCTATTAAGTAAAATTCATATTAAGCTATTATGGCTACCAACTAAGTTTTCAAAGGACTTTATATCAAAATAACCTTTAAATATAGGGAGAACAGAGGTTATAACATTCTTTTCTATAGGCAGAAACTGAGTTTTAATGGTGTTATTTATTTTTTCTTTTTTTTTTCTTTTTGGGGATCCAGTCATGGGGCCTGAACTCTGGGCCTGGGCGCTGTCCCTCAGCTCTTTAGCTCAAGGCTAGCGCTCTACCACTTGAGCCATAGCACCACTTCTGGCTTTTTTCTTTTTGCTTATGTGGTGCTGAGGAATCGAACCCAGGGCCTCATGCATGCAAGGCAAGCACTCTAACACTGAGCCACCTTCCCAGCCCCCTGATGGTATATTTACCTTTTTATTGCTGTGACAAAATACCAGAGAACACAACTTACAGAAGGAAAAGATTTATTTTTGTTTGCAATTTCAGAGGTTCATCATAGTGGCAAAAAAGAGCAACTCATATCATGAAGGCCAGGAAACAGAAACAAAAAGGCTTTTGCTGTGGGCTTTCTCTTTTTTCTCTGTTTATTCCATCTGCCTCTCCCCCTCTATAGGATATTGCCCCAACATTCAGGAAGTCTTTCTCTCTTACTTATGCTTTATTAAAAGCATGGCTCAATCCAATGACATTGACATCAAAATTAACCATTGCAGATAGTTAAATGACTTATTCAAGTTCACAACAAACTATATTAATATTAGACACTTTACATATATTTTCTACCTCACTAAACCACAAAACTTCTGTGAAGACAGTCTTTCACAATACTGTTGAGGCATAGATAAGGCCAATAGTCTGACTGTGTGAGGACTTCTGCTTTTTGTTTAGTGCAAGTCCTGGATCTTGACTTCAGGGCGTGAGTGCTGTCTCTGAGCTTCTTTGCTCAAGGTTAGTTCTCAACCACTTGAAATACAGCTCCAGTTTTGACTTCTTGGTGGTTGATTGGAGATGAGTCTCATGGACTGACTTTGAACTACTGATCCTTAGATCTTAGCCTCCTGAGTAGCTAGGATTACAGGCATGAGCCACGAATGTCTGTATGACCTTTTAAATTCATGTTAAAATCCTAAGTCCCAAAGAGATGTTATTAGGATAAAGAGCATTTAGGGGATAGTTAAGTCATGATCCCTCATGAATGTGATTAGTATCCTTATAAAAAGGCCTAAGAGAGACCCTCTTTCCTTCTGTCATGTGATATTAACGTGCAAACCAAAAATACCACACTATCCAAGTATGTTCCTCAGCTTAAAGCTGAAGCTTAGTCAAAAGTCAAGTCAGTTCTAAAAATAGAATTAAAATAACTGTATTGTACAAATATCTTAATGTTTACCATATAGTTCATATAATTTTATTACCACAACTAACAAAATTTGTGTTTATTTAACTTATTCCTCATTTCAAAACCAGTCTAAATTATTTTTAATGTGAAACCAGTATCCCCAAAGTTTCTAAATTAATTGTAATAAAATAAAATAGGTTCTTCCAAAGTTATCACTGTATCTGAAACACAACAGATATCAAAAATATTTGCTTACTGTTTCCTTGATTAGTGAAAATTATTACATAAACGAATATATGAATGAAAAACAAACATTAATGTGCATCTAATCTAGGGAAGGTTGTATCTTTCATGCCCAACTTCACAAAAAATAACTCAATTTTAACAACAATAAACACTTGTTTTTTTGGCCAGTCCTGAGGAGCTTGAACTCTGGGCTTGGGTTCTGTTTCTGAGTCTCTTTGTGTTCAAGGATAGGCGCTTTACCACTTGAGCCATAGCTCTACTTCCAGCTTTTTCTGAGTAGTTTACTGGAGATAAGAGTCTCATGGACTTTTCCGCCTGGGCTGGCTTTGAACCAGATCCTCAGATCTCAGCCTCCTGAGTAGCTAGGGTTAAAGGTAAGAGCCACTATTGCCTGGCTTAGTCAAAAACACTTTTTTTTGGGGGGGAGGGCGGTTGTGGGGCCTGAACTCTGGGCCTGGGCACTTTCCCTTAGCTCTTCAGCTCTTCAAGGCAAGCTCTCTACCAATTGAGCCACAGTGCCATTTCGGGCCTTTTCTGTTTATGTGGTGCTGAGGAATCGAACCCAGGGCCTCATGCATGCAAGGCAAGCGCTCTACCACTGAGCTACCTTTCCAACCCCAGTCAAAAACATTTTTAAGCTTACAAAACAGGAAACTTCAGAGGGATAGGCTAGACCTAATGGTTAGGAATAACCTCACACAACATGATCTGTACAATCTGCCTAGTTATAAAGTGACAAATTTTGATGATTTATTTATATAACAATTTCTGGGGGGGGGGAAGGACTGGGGTGGGGGGGCAAGGGGAGGCTGGGAAGGGATGTGAAGGGCAAACAAAGGAGGAGGCTACAATGCTTGATAAGAAATGTACTCATTATCTTGCCCATGTAATTGAAACCCCTCTGTACAGTATGTTCACAATAAAAAATAAAAAAATATAACAATAAAACAATTTCTACAATATTCAAGCTAAGTATAGTCATGTGCATTCCGGGGCTCCAAATTTGTAGACTCAATCAACCATGTATAAAAAAATTATTTAATAGTTTTTATTGAGGTTAAATAATTACACAACTTTCACAGTATTGTGAGATAGTGATATACTTAAAAGTCACACATTTTAGCCTTCACAAGGCAAATGGTCATTATCATGGTCTATAATGTTTGTGAATTTTATGAGCTTTGACAATGTAACTATTTCTTCCACATTGGGTGATATGTACATTTCTTTCCTTTTAGTTATTTTTATTTTTTTTATTTTGGGTCCGGTCCTGGGGCCTGAACTCTGGGCCTGGGTGCTGTCCCTCAGCTCTTCAGCTCAAAGCTAGCGCTCTACCACTTGAACTACAGCGCCACTTCTGGCTTTTTTCTTTTAAACCCAGGGCCTCATGCATGGAAGGCAAACGCTCTACCACTAAGCCACCTTCCCAGCCCCATTTCTTTCCTTTTAGTGTAAGCTGTTCCCTCTTGCCCTCTCATTCCCTCCTTCCCATCGCTGCCCTTGAGTTGCTTAGTTTGTTTTCATCAATGTCCAGTGCAGCTGATGGGCCCTGTTGTATATTTTTTCATTTCCCTCTGATTCTCTGCCCGCCTCCTAGCTTCCCTCAGATGTGTGCATGTGCACACACGCGTGCACACACACACGCAAACCATTTATGTGGTCATTTAGGAATATGACAAATTGAATGGAGGTCCTTTGTTTCTTGAATCCTGTTTATTTTGTCATATCTCCTTGCATTTTGGATTTAACATCCACATATCACAAAGACCATGTGCTGTTTGTCTCTCTGCTCTTAGCTCACCGCACTCAAAATGATTTGTTCTAGTTCCATCCATTTCCCTGTGAATGTTATTATTTTGTCCTTTCTAATGGCAATGGCTGCATAATATTCCATTGTATATAAATACCACATTTTTTGGATCCATTCCTCTGTAGTGGGGCATCTGAGTTGTTTCTATATCTTGGCTATTGTGAATAGTGCTGCAATGAACAATGAGGTGCATGTGTCCTTGTATCCTGGTTCCTATTGCAAAGGATAGATGCCTAGGAGTGGTATGGCTGGGTCATAGGGGAGGTCTATATTTAGCTTTCTGCAGTACCTCCAGACTGCTTTCCAAAGTGGTTGTATTAGTGTACATTCCCACCAGCAATGCAATAGGGTTCCTCTTTCTCTGCATCCCCACCAGTATTTGTCGCTGGCTGAATTTAAGATGTGGGCCATTTTGATTGGGGTAAGGTGGTATCTCAGGGTCGTTTTTCTTTGCATTTCCTTTATAGCCAGTGATGATGAACATTTCCTCATGTGTTTCTTTGCCATTGTTATCTCTTCCTCTGAGTTCTTCTTTAGCTCCTTTGCCCATTTAGTGATTGTTTGTTAGATTTGGGAGGGATTCGTTTCTTGAGTTACTGGGTATTCGGCCCTTGTCTGATATATTACTGGTAAGTATCTTTT